CGTGTTATCTCTTAGAGATGGCACGTTAGCCCTGGTCAGATTTATACCAGGCTTCATCCTAACCATTACAGGCAAGGTGTTACACGAAGAAGGGCAAACATGCACGTTGTTAAGCTGACGCGTGGTGGACAAGAATGACCGGTCTGGCACTGGTCGCGTCATCGACAGACAGCCACGGTCCCGCGTCATCTCCGTCTTCGGGGGAGGTGGGGGTAGGTGTGGGCTGTCCCATCAGAAGGGCTCCCGGATGGAAACCGTACCGATCTCCGCCCATTAAAGAGAAAAAGAACAGTCCAGTTTGGAAAGAGAGAGGTGCATGTGGTATCCCCTTGAGATATAAAAGGAGGACCTTGCCCATTTAGAGAGAGAACTTTTTTTTCCCTTTTGGAAGGCAGAGGGGAAAGGAAGTGAATCTTTTGTAACTTGTCCATACACAAATCCACAAAAACACAGGAGTAGGGTATTACGCTTCGCAGCGGCCCGAACCTGTATACATCGCCGAGTCTCGTGTGTCTTGCGGGCGAGTGATCTTTCCACACTCGGAGAGAGAGAGAGAGCTTGGGATTGCACCCTAAGCCCCTGGTCGAACCGGCAAAGGGGGGCTTGCGCAGTCTCCCGGTGAGGGGCCACGAGCTCCGTCAACGTGGGTATGCACGTGTTCCGTCGTTTTGTGGGTTCTCCATGTCTACCCACTCGATGAAGTTGCACATTGGACGATATGTCTGCGTAAGATGTTACAATTGTGTACGAAGAAGTTAATTTTTTTATCCATTTGAACTTCGAATAGATGAAGCATACCTGATCAAAGTTCGCACATTGGAAGAATCTCCTGCCCCGAGTTTGTATCATGAGGGAAGACTTGAGTATGCATCCATCCCCACAATCGCACAAAGGACGGTCACACCATGGTGGAAACCAACCAGCAAAAGGATCGCTTCGCCAGTTGAGACGCTCAAGGAATGGCGCTTCCATTTTCATTAGTTGTGTGCTAGTGGGAAAGAAGATATGAAGAGGTTGCCTTCAGATTGTCAATTATATAGCGTCGTTTTCAGTGCAATATATGTGAACTCAATGAGATACATTATTCATTAGATGTGACAAGACGAGCACGCGCGGGCGTGATTCACTTTATGTCAGCAGGCAGCGCCGAAAGTTGATAGTGACTACTCGAGCTGCCGCTTTTCATGTGTGCTGTTGCGGACTGTGCGCGCTACTGGATCTGACACTACCGTGAAGCGCCGAAAGTGTGTTGTCGTGAGCATAAGTTGTTCTAGCACCATATGAATGAAAAGAACTATGTAGACGAGACAAACACAAGTAGTACTGCAGTAGTAATAGCAAAAGTAGTACTGCTTTACAAGTTTGTAAGCCAAAAGAAACAGTCACATAAGGACTGAAGAGGTAGAACACTACTGACGAGGCCTCTTACCCCTGTCCCTCCTACCCTGCGCCCTAACGTGCCCCTGGGAGTACGTGAGTCGGTCCGGGGGTATGGCACGGCCAACCCGTCCTGCCTGTACAGGTGTGACCTCTGGCTGCTCCTGAGTGTGCGCCTCTGGAGCTCCTCCAAGCTGAGAGGAGCCTAGTACGTCGTGGTGGTGTGCACCATGCAAGTCGTCGTCGTAGAACTAGCTAGTAGGACCAGTCCTACCGGCGTGAGACGAAGAGGCCCCAGTACCGAAGATCCCGGCTGCAAATCCTGCTGGACAAGGACCATCAGTTTCATACAGGTATTTAATAGTATTAATAAAAAGTAAAGTACCGTGTGGACGAGGGATCGACGCTCCGTGAGAGGAAGAGCTGGCGAACGCGCTCGAAGAGGTGGCGAACGCGCCGGAAGTGCTGGCGAATGCCCCTGCGGAGCTCGCGGAAGCGCCGGTCGTGGCTGTGAACGCGCTCGAAGGCAGACGAGTTCCTGCGATGAGGAAACGTGCAGTTAAAACATGGTGACATATTCGTGCAAAAGCTGAAACAAAAATGAACTAACCTCTGGGCTGAACTGTACCGTGCGAAACCGGTGCTGTAGGTCGCACTGCTCCGAAGCTAGGGGCGCTCGAAGGCAAACGAGGTCCTGCGAGGATGGAACATCAAGTTACGACGGGGTGATGTTTTCGTACAAAAACAGAAACAAAACTTAAGAAACCTCTGGGCTGAGCAGTACCGTCGAAACAGGTGCCGTAGGTCGAGGTCCTGCTCCGACGGTAGGCACGCGAGGCCGTGGTTATACCGGACCAGCTGGAGGTACGACGTCCACGGCGCTGCGACAGGAGAAGACGCGCATGACCGCACGCATCTTCTCCTGCATCCGGTCGAAGGTCACCCTCTGCTCAACGTCAGTCAAGTGCAAACCTCTGTTCAACCTCACTTGGACTGCGGTGATATTGGCACTGATATCCCGTGCGGCATCGGCCTATGCAAGATGGAAATAAAAAATTCAGTAATTGTCCTATATTATGCAAGATAAATGAAATAATTGTAAAAACTAATACAAATTCGACGTACCCCCACGAAGTAGTCTCGGTCACGGTGCGTGGGATACGCGTCCGTGACAGCAGCAACGTGCGGCTCTGGGGCGTCTGGAGTGAAGGTCACACGCGCATGAGTGCGAGGAAGGTACCAGCGAAGGTAGTCACGGTAGTTCTCCTCCGTGTGTAGGAAGAGCTCGTTGATCACCTCCTCTGTAGCTAACACCTAGTCATCAACGTACTGCTGTACACGTGGAGCCCAAAGTGCGCCTGCTAGCTGTCCCCGTCGAGTCAACCTGTGAAGAGAGGTAAATTATATGGCTCGATGAAGTAATTACCATAAAAATTTTGAAATGAACAATCCGAACTCACGAGTGGTCGGCAGGGAGGACGGTCGGCTGCACGTTGCCCGGAAACACCTGCCTAAGTCCGAACTGTCTCATCACACGCTGCGGGCAGTGAGGCTCAACGAAAATGTCGAACACCATCGGCAGGATGGTGAGCCAGTAAGCCTGGTCGCGTGTGCACAAGGACGAAAGTCCTAGCGGTGCTCTCGCAGCGACGGCCTCTTCTGTGTACGGCTCCCAGATGACGTCGCTCGGCTGGAGACGGTCAAACTCAAACACGAAGTCCGGGTAACCTCGTCTCACCTGGACGTGAGCGTAACGACGCTGCAATAAACATGATCGGAATTAGACATGTTATGTGATGATAAAAAAAGAAGACGACTGATAAACTTATAACGCAGTGAAGTTGCACTAACCCCACGTCGACACCAGTAAGTCCCCATCGTGGGACCGTCCTCTGGCCACTGCGCGCTGCGACCAACCCCGTAGGGTGCGCTGTCCACCACTGGTCGACCTATGGCAAACCTCTCGGCTGCCCAAAGCTGAAGCAACATAGGGCAACCAGCGATGATCGCTCCCGCGTCAGTCTTCGTGCACGCCTCACAGAGGGCACGGTACGTGGCTGCTAGCACGGCAGAACCCCAGCTCCACTGCGGCACGTCCTGTGGCTGAGCATCCGCGATGGACCGTGTGTAGTGGACCAGCCGGCAGTCCACAGCGTGCCCGTGGGTGCTAGTGAACATCACTCATCCGAACGGCTGTCGCCCGAGAGCGAACGGTCGTCTGCCACGTCACTTTCGCCGCCCTCTGGGATGGCGATTTTTAAAAATCGCCCTCCCAGAGGGCGGTAGGCGACTACTTCCGTCAATTTTCAAAATGGAAAATTATTTTTGTAAAACTTTTAATAAAAAAAATTAAAAATAAAAAAATTCAGACACTCTAAGAGTACGAATCTTGACACAACACATCCTATTTATATATTTATATATAAAGATTTACATATAAATTACATCTTTCGTCCCTATTGTTTTATATTTATAAATATGTAAATCTTTATATTTATATATTGTTTGTGATTTAAAAATCAATATTAAAAAAAACTATAATGATAAAAAACACTAAAATTGACTCTAAAGTTAAGTTTTTAAATTTAAAATTTTCCAGTGGCTTATATTTTAGGGCAAAGAAAGTTTCGAAAAATTTAGAAATATTGATTGGATGGTTGTGAGCGAAGATTTTGAGAGTAACTTTGAATCGGAGCACATTTGGAGGAGACAGAAAAAAAAATCAACAATCACAAGTTCAAGTTGAATTTCATACAATTGCACGATATTATTGTCAGCCTTTCATGCGCTCAACATTCGCTGTTCGTGCACATGAATATTTTTTTTAGCATTTCTGTTATATGCTCATGGTGCAGGGTGTGCATGAACTTATGCATGACAAGACCAAAAAAAAAAACTACTTGAGCATGAAATTTCATGCACACCCTGAACTTCAACTTGAGCTGTGTTTTTATTTCGTGTGCCAATTTTTTTTTTAAATATACGGACACACATTTGAAGTATTAAACAGCGAGATGAATTTATTAAGCCTAATTAATCCGTCATTAACAAATGTTTACTGTAGCACCACATTGTCAAATCATGGCATAATTAGGCTCAAAAGATTCGTCTCGCAATTTATAGTCGGACTGTGCAATTGATTTTTTTCGTCAACATTTGATGCTCCATACATGTGTCCAAACATTTGATATGACGGAAAAGTTAAGTTTGAAGAAAAAAGTTGGAATCTAAAAACGGCCTTGAACTCCATTTCTGTTATAGATATGACCAAAAAAATTACCAAGCTACAAGCCTACTTGCACGATTGCAATAGAGGGTACCTGCTGTTAGTAAGATGGAGCTCAGCATCGACAAGCACAACCCAAAATAATTACTGTTCTTACAATTCATCAAGGACTCAATGAGTTCAAATTTTAATCAGGAATCCAACTCAAGTTCATGTTGTTCATCACTTCATCATGGGTAACGTTTTAGATGTCAGGTCATCAGAACGTGTCACAAAGCAGGGTAGGGCAGGGTGTACAGAATTCTGTAGAGCTGTAACTCAACAACATTTCTTGTACAGTATTACTACTATGTTTCAGTATATCAGATGAAAACCTACACAATTGGGAGATTAAACCTTTGAAGGAACAAGAAAGCAGCACTTTTGTTACCTTGGTTTACAACAATTTAAGCCTAGATATTTCAAAGTAGAATGGCTTAAGCAAAATACATCACAAATATTCTGCTATGCTAAGTATAATTTCAATCCTTGTTATAAGAAAACCACTACCATGATGCCATCTAAATGTCAGCATCAGTTTGCTTGAGAGAAACACCAACCATGGCGTCATGCATGTTATGTCATCTCCTCGAATTAGCTTGCATGAAAATGGCCTCCACCTTAACTTGTATGTCCAAGTCATAAATATCAGGCTGATGTCCAAGGCGATAGGCAGTTCATCGAAGATTTGGAGAATGCTAGTTTGGATGGTACAGGCTACCAAATTGGCCAAATTGGTGAGCCTCATTTTGATCTCTTTAATATTAGCTTTCTAATGCAGAAAGCTCAACCTCCTTAGTGCAAGGACGGTAAGCTGCAAAGGTGCTATCGTTAGCAAAAGAACCAGGGTTGAAGCAAGTTATTCCTGTGTATTTGAAGGCCTTCTGGTCGCTCTTGTCGCCCAGTACTATCTGAAGAAGTTTTTCAGGAAGAAAATCAGCAAAGAACGTCCAAAACTTTTGTTTATAGTGATGAATTGTAATAGTTATACAAAAGAAAGTAATCACACATGCACGGTCAAGCAATTAAATGAGCACAACAGCACATTCATCGCAACAAATTTAGAGCACATTTCAAGGTCCTGAATAGGCTTATGTCCTAAATTGCATACCGTATGAGGAGTAGGATAGAGTCGAAGGCAATGATCGTAGCTCCATATGATTGGCTGAACTGTAAGAGGCAATGGGCAAAGATGACTCTGATGGGTGATGGTTGCTACCAGCTGAAAAGAAAATGATGTGTTAATTCTTTGAACAATATATGCTTATTGAAATAACAACAAAGGAGGGGTATTTAACATACATGCTCGAAAGGGTCACTTGTTTCTTCTGTTGTTGGGGGAATCAGACAAGACCGCCGCATCCTATAAAGGAGGTCTTGCCGGAAAAATACAATTTCTTGTGTATAAAACTTCACCCTGGATAATTACAGTTTTATTTACTGGAGATAGAACAGATAATAATTGAACAATCTGCAAACTTAAGTGTTTTCTTAATCATGACAACTCAAAAAGGGTTAATGGCATAGCTTAGACAAGCTCTTCTCTGCCAATCTATCACTATATGGTAGTCTCAGTGGGTAGTGAGTATATGAAGCTTTTTCCAAGATTGACTGAAATGACAGTGGAATCACTAAAGATAGAATCAGATAAGTTCAGAAAAAAATTGATAAAATGAGGAAGATAATGCCTAGTACAAAAAAGTAGAATGTGCGCATCATGCATCATGCCACCGACCAAAAATCTGTTAATACACATCAGTAGACTAGTACAGGTATGGTGATTATAGCCTCTTCAATTTAACATGAAGCTATTACTAGTGTGCATCATGATCATGATATTGTGTGGATAGCTCTCAGAACAATAATAAGGGGGTTCTGTGAGTCGTCAAAATAACTACAGGTTACCAACAGCTTAGTCTGAATCATGCAATGGACTATGGACCTGACCATAAAATGTGGACTTATGGTGAAAACAATTGGGTGTTAAATATAACGAATTTACGATGTGGTAGAAACATAAAAAGAAACAGCATCCTATTTTCAGTTCCAATAAAAAGAAACCAGCGTTTTTATCCTTCAGCCTTGAAAAAAAAAGGAAATAGCACTATCATGCATTCTTGTCCAAATGCTTATTTTTGACATTTCTAAATTTGTACATATAATAATAGTTTTAACCAGAAATGTTTATCCATGTATTGATGGTGCCCATAGCTTCATAAAAAACCCAGGCACAATGTAGAAATTCAGATAATGACACAATCATACAAGGCAATATTTTAATGTCGAACCTGCAAGGGTTGCTTACGAATATTGCATTTGGGATGTGCTTCTGCAGTTCCTCAGTTAGATATTTCGGAAGTGCACACCTTGGAAGGGCTTTAGAAGGGCCTGAAATATGTAATCAAGTAAGAGAAATAGCACATCACAGAAAAAGGAAGAGAAAGAAACATCTCATTCCAATTATCTGGGACATAAAATGACATTATTCCATTTACAATTAACGAGTTCATTTCAAACCAACCATATCACAGCATTCATTAATTTAAATACAAAAGGAATGCCAATAATAGTAGGGCATAGAAAAAAGAATAGACCAACTCAGATTTAATACATTTTGGAGCAAACAAAATTGAGTTGGAGCAAATTCACATGTGAATATGAACAGTTGTCAGCTAAAAGCAAATCAATGGGTTTTCGAGTACCTGCGTCGTCAGGACCAGGAATGAACAAAAAACGACTGTGTTCCTTTAACCTGGATCGAGCTGCAATCATCTCACCAAGCTTTCCGAACTGCAATCTACAATAGGTTTCTTCGATTGGAAGGTGAAAACAAAATACAAGCTTTGACTATCTTATATAACTTAAAAGCCAGACCTGAGTTCTTCAAATGAATTGAATGCCAGATTGCAGGGCCGGGAGCAGAAATTGCCCATTAAAACAAAAAGGGAAGGAACTGCTTCTAGACTATCATAACCATCAAGAACAACACCTAATTTCTCCATGGTCTTCTCTACGAGAAAACACATATGAACATCCTGAGAATATGGCTCAATAATAATGGTTATTTGAAATAGGGCCTAGTACAAATGAAGATACCTCATAATTGTCAAGCCAAACATCTGAAAGTATAACAAACATATCATTCATGGCCTTCTTCTCTAAGGTTGATAGCCTTACCTGTTTGATATTTCCATTGATAAAATTAATCAGTAAAGGTTATTTTGAAAAGTCAGATTACATGCGGAACAGAAATATTTGAACTTACTGTTTCTTCAGTTGGTATGACACCTCCACCGAAGAAATCTAGCCCCATAAGCATCGAAAGTGATGCTTCTCTATCCTCTAAAGGAGGGAATCCACATGTATTTACCTGCAGATGATAGGAATAAAATCAGATTGAACACAACAATACAAGAGCTGAACACATTCTTGTTGATAAGAATTACAGACCTGGAAAATGCCATTTGAAAGCAATTCCCCTTCTGCTACAATTACAGTATTTTCAACGAAGAAACCTGAAGTGATTTTGTGTTTTGTGCTAAGGAAAGCATAACACTTTTCTGAGTAAGCAAGAGATTGATATGGATCAAATTAAATTTTAGTGTCAAACATGAATCCTGAATTAATGATATGTTATCACTCAAATTTGAGCAGACCTTTTGTTGTTATATATATTTCATAGGTAGCTAAAGAAACTATTCAATTTTTAGATAAATCATACTACAATATGACAAATAATGGGCTCTCAGGATATAGCATTCGATAAGTCAATTGGCACAGCTCCAGTAAGATCCTCCAAGTAGAATTGACGTTCCTCCAACTGTGATATGACCCCCATAATCCATCTCCGACCAGTGCACCCAATTAGGGACTGAATAGAAGTTATCTACATGTAAAAAAGTGTGTAAGTAATTTCACATACAAGAACTAAGAATATTTTGTGAAAATCATGACATGAAACAAAAAAAAATACCTCACAATTATCATCTTCGGTCATAACAGTGTCAAAAGCTGGCTTAGAGAAGTATATATCACGAGCTAGCCTCTGAAGCAGAACCTGATACCTGTCCCTGTACAGGGCTGCTTTATCTCCAGCTTCTCCATGTATGGCTAATCTGCTGGTATGCCTATATAATAGCATATTTCAGGGCTGTTAACTCATTATAACTTATAATTCAGTCTTGGTTAGAAATAATAGGACAGTCTTTAAGCTCATTAGTCCTAGCATCAAGAGAATCTATGTGTAATCAATGATGCTCATAATTAAATACTCCCTCAGTCCCAAAATATAAGCGTTTTGAATCTGAACAACTGTGTGTCCAGATTCATAGCCAAAAGTTGCTATATTTTGGGACGGAGGGAGTAGATGTGTGCATCCATGGTGCAGTAGGCCAGAAGTTACTTCCATATCTAACAAGAGTTGCCACTGCAAATATTGCCGCTAAATGTCTTATTGGCATGAGGATGGAGCAGGCGACATGTTAACCTAGCCATACATACAGTAGTCTCAACTGCATCTCATTGGAGTGGCAAATCTTTAATTGTCACATAAAATCAAGTCATTTGATTTTTTTTCCAAAACCAAATCAATAGTTCAATACTCATTAAGAAGCTAACAATCTCATCTAGTGAAGCACAATATACTGAATCCAAACAAAAAAAAAATACTATACATCTAACAAGTTTTCTCTTCACACAGAAATGAGGTTTAATTATTTTAAAAGAAAATCAGTAGCATCATTTTGGAATCTATGCCCTACATAAATTCTTTGTTGAATCATTGAAGATTTAGCCAGACTTAGAACTCAATTTCGTCAATGTAGCAATTCTAACCACAGTTCAACACCAAAGCGGGAAAAGGAAATAGCGAAATTCTCAAGAGGATGTACAAGGAAAGGAAGAAGCGGCATCTACGTACTCGTAGAAGACTTTCTTGATCGGATCGTAGTGGAACCTTGGCACGACGAACGAATCCACCACCCGCAGCGCCGAGCGCGCGCTGGTGGCCGCCGGAGACGCCGCATCCACCGCCTCGTCCGCCTCGACGAGCAGCGCCACCACGCGCCGCACCGCGTCCCGGTCAAGAATCGACGACTGCACTGCACGCACGCGCGCGCGCACCAAACGATAGCCAAATTGGAGACGAGACCACGGGGAGGGCAGAGAGAGAGAGGGGAGAGACAGATTGGTTACGCGGCTCCTTGTCGAGCTCGTCGAGGAGGAGGTCGAGGGCGTCGTCCTCGGCGTCGGGGAAGCGGGCGAGGAAGGCGGCGGCCTCCTCGAGGGCGTCCACCTTGAGGGTGAAGCCTCGCAGCTTGAACTTGCGCTGCAGCTTCCTGCGCGTGGCCGCCGACGGCGCCGCCATGGGAGGGAGAGAGAGAGAGAGAGAGGCGGGTGGGGATTGGGGGGGAATGGAATGTGTTGTGGCGGGAAAACAGGGCTGGGGTTTTGGGGAATTGGCGGGAAATGTACCGATCGCCTGTGGTAACTTGGGCCTTTAGATAATAGGTGGGCCTGTTGTAATGGAGGCCCATGCCGCTTGCACCTTTTTTTTCTTTTGAGAACTCGCTTGCACTGTTTTATATAAATTTGGTTCATCCGATCGGACACGCGTCAACATCCCGCGTGAGAGCACGAGCTCGTGGGTAGCGCTCCTCTGCACGGATTGGGTTTGGTGGGCCATTTACTGTTTTGTATTTTGTCCTCGTTACAGGCCATCCTAATGGGTCGGTTTATGGCTGAAACCCACAACCAACTACTTAAAAGGAAAAAGTACACAAAAGGTCCCTCAACTTGTCATCGAGTTATAAAATCAAGGTGGTTTTGACCCCGGTTTTGACATCCCTTAACTTACAAAACCGTTCACTTTACGTCCTTCGGTAGTTTTGACCCCGGTTTTATCCGACGTGGTGGGTGAGTAAGCATGGGACACACGTGGACCCCACATGTCAGGACGCCACGTCATCAAGGTCTCTCTTTCCCCTCCTCTCCCTTCCTCCTCCTCCTCTCTCTCACTCATCTCCCTGGGCAGGTTGGTCGGCAGTGGAGAGGAGGTCCGATGGCCGGCCGGCGATGCGGTGGCGACGACACGAGAGAAAGGGAGGGAGGCGGCGGTGGGAGCATGGACAGATCGAAGAGGACGACCTCGAGCACGGCAGCAGGCAAAGTGGGGCGACGGCGAGGCGGAGCAGCGTTGACGGGCGGAGAAGGCTGGCGAGGCGGTGGCGTGCAAAGCCAGTGGCGCAGAGCAGAGCGGGGCGGTAATGGATGACAACGACGATGGCGGCAGGTTCGAGGAGGAGGAGGAGGACGCGCGCAGCTCCTTCCTCGACGCTCGCCGGCCCGGGCGTAGCTCCTCCCCCCGCCGCCCACCGCCAGCGCACACCGGAAGGAAGAGCATGACACGAGGAACTCATCGAGGGGCAGAACGATGACGGACAGCGAGCTTCAAACGACGACGAGGTCGGGTCAAAGGTGGCGGCGGCGTTCCGGCACTTTTCGGCGGCAACAAACAAGTGGATGGTCTTCACCTTGCTCCTGCGAATCCAACGGAGGCGATGACGAATCTTGGCATCGACGGGAATGCCAGTGAGGCTCGGTCGGAGGAGGCTGGAGCAGCAGCGACGGTGAATAGGGATGGCAGTGGGTCGGGTTGGGCACGGTGTTGATGCGAAAAAACACACACTGGCCTGGGAGATCTGCTTAGCTCCAGTGCAGGTCCAAGATGTTGATGAGATACGGGCGTGCCAGTCAGTTTGATGCTGCAACTGACAAGATATGTAAACAGCAGATAAAACAGCTGATCGGCTGACAAACCGATGGAGTAATTCCAACCGATAGCCGATATTAGCCAATGTCGATAGAGTTTTGAGCAATCGGCTATATGTCCAATGCAAATAATGATATAAAGACAATCGGCTGATGATAATAAAATATAACAATAATATAATCCAATAGAAACCAATCGGCTAATAATAATATGATAGGATAAGTATTGATCTGATGGTTAAAGCATACATCGGCTAAAAGTCCGACGACATAAAATCCAATCGATTTAGATAAACATGTTGCAAACGGCTAAATCCAACTTGTATGTAATGTTTGTAAGCCAATGCAACGTCCAGATAACTTATCGGCTAGCACCTCGATAAAACACTAGCATGAACCTATCAGCTTAACAAGATTTATATTATCAACAACAATTTAGTAGGTCGGACCTAATCGATGCAGCACGGGATTATATAATACTCGATTAACCGATAGATCTATCTAATGTGATGGATATAACAAATCTATCTATAACATCATTGTGATTGTAGAGATATATCGGCTAAGACATAAGATCAAACCTAACCGAGATAGTCCCAACTAAACCGATGCGTCTCTAAACACAATGCAATTAGAGATAGAATCAAGATATCAGGTAGAAAAATATATCAACCAAACCAGAGCGATCCAAGAGATCGAAACGATGCAGCCTTGAACAACACCAATGTAGCCGATAGATTTACCAGGGCCGACGGAACGTAGGACTTACCCCTTCGCCGGAGATCGAACTGAACCGATGCAGCCCCGTGTTGGGTGCCAAATTCCGCCGGTTGATAAGTAAAATCTCAAAAAAGAGGGTGGCGATGCGTCGAGAGTAGTATTGATTGAGAGATAGATTACAATGACCCAGGGTGTACATATTTATACCCATGGGTAGATACTAGTCCTTGTTGGACAAGAAATAAACTTTAATAAAGATAAAAGGAAAACACAAAGTCCTTATCGGACACTAAACACACTTCCCTATAATTAAAAGGAAACAAACAGACTATTCATAATTAATAGATAAACTGTCATGCCACATCCTCCTTGAACTCGGTCACTTATGGATAAACTTCCTTTAGTAAATTAATTTCCATAACCGAATCTACTAAGAATCCGACTGTTGGCGACTTGATAATTCCCATCGGCCGATTCCATGACTCTGAAGCCGATACTGACTCTAGGCCGATGATGACATCTTTTTCTTGCACTTTTGCAGGGCAGAGCACTAGGTACAACGTTGACTCCTTCTAGATGTTGTGTCAGTGAGGGTAAGGCCGCAATCATCGTCAAGCTGGTTGCCGGAGAGAATGAGGCACTACTTTCTTGAGCCAAATAATGATGAAATTATTTTAGAAAATGTTAGTATTTGAAAGATCTATGCTCTAGAGTTGCCTTGTAAGGGAAGTTGAAAGATCAATTATCCTAGAATGTGCTAATAGTTTTTGTGTTACAACTGGTTGTTATGAATAATTATTTCCATGAGTTGGTGTGATCGGGTTGAGTTCCGCAAAAAGTTAAAAGATTGCTAAATTTGTTGATGAAGAAGAGAATCAACATAATTTCATGATTGTAAAAAAGATTGTCAAAAATGCGTTACATAATTTGGACATGAAAAATAAACTTCTGCAGCAGCATTCATCGACTGATTTGGTAGATTGCAGATAAACTCATGAGAAATCTGAAGGTGGGACCAGAAACTTGATGTGGGCCATCAAATTAGCTTTCCAACAAGTACTCACGTTCAAAACGAAGCCCGTATACGAAATCCACAACCGTTTTTCCGTAGGACTATCTAGTCTATCGAAACCTTCTTATCTTTAAAACTTTTATTTGGGAACAATTAAATCCATGTATATGAGATATTTGTAGACTTATAGAGAGTCTTGGAATAGATGGAAACCATCAAATCAGCCCGTAGAACCAACAAACTCACTAAATATAGTGTTGACGCAAAATTCGTCGCACACACGAAGGCCTTAGAGATTTGCTGAGCTCTAATGCAAGTCCTATCAAATCGGTTTCAAGACGTGCCAGTTAGTTTGATCCTACAACTAGATATGAAAAAAAAAATAGATCGTGGGGCCAATCGGTCACAGGGCCGATAAAGTATCATGTGCCCAGCTGATGCCGATGGAAATTTGGATCAATCAGCTATAACCAATGGAATTTAGATATCAAAAGATTAAACATCGGTCGAAACTTTGATATAATATATTTGTAAATCTTCTAACTTCATTACAACCAATCTTGATAGATCATACCAAACTGAGACAATATAAGATTGAAAGTAATAAAGTAGAATCTGAACAATTATATATCTTTTGGATATAGGCTGATGTACCAAGAGTTATTTGGAACTTACCATTACTCTATATGGAGAAAACAACTAACATCGGCTAAAGCAAGTTAAAAAAAATCACTTAGCAATCTATAATTATCAACCACAATTTTCATGGATCAGACTCAACTGAGACAGTATAAGACTGAAGATAATAAGAACAACAACTAGCTGATTATGCTAAATCTTACAAATTAGCCGATATAGCAAGTTAAATTATGATAAGCAAATAGCTCATCGGCTAAAACTCTATTGAAACAATGATTAAAACTTATTGACTTGAGTAAATCTAACTAGCAAATTATAACCTAGAAGAATGAACTTAACCAAGAAAGTTCAAGATTAATAGTAAACTTGATAGATTTAAACTAGTCGATTGGTAATATTCAGAGTGATTGATATATTGAATCTAATCAAGAGAACAAAGCGATCTAAGAATGAGCTAATATGTCAGATAGGCAACACGAGTAAAAGCTTCACTAGTATATCGGACTTAACTGAGAAAGTAAAAATTTTGCTGATACAAGCGGAGTTGAGAAACTTACTTTCTCGCCTGAGATCGAAACCAATGATGCCCAAACTCGCAAACAAGAAGTCGTCAAAACTAAAACTACCGTTGGCCATGCGACGGAAGTTGTATATTGAAGTGTAGTTGGCATGGGCCTAGATTGAGATAATCGTCATTGCCAATTAGAGATAGAGCTCTATTAAGGCAATTGCATCTATTAATTAGATTAGTTATGTCGGTTTTGGCAAGAGACCGCCATATATGGTCTTGTTTGTATTTTATCTTTAGAAAGGTTTGAGTCGTGTCCGTAATGGACTAAGTTTGTACTCGAGGTATAAATATGAACCCCCTAGCATTGAAATACGTGAGACAATTCAATACAACTTTAGCACATCGCCACCCTTTTCGTTTTTACTTTTCGACGAGTTCGCTTCGCAAGAGGTAACATGTCTCGATGGCTTGTGCTATCATGGCTATTATGTCGCTTTAGATATTTTAGTCCTTTTATCATGGTCATCTGCTATCATATGTCTTAGCTAATCTAGTCTTAGTATCTAGATTTACCTCTATCGGTTGGTTCTCGCTATAGGGTTCTTGCCGGTATCAGCTAAATCTTCCGACTAGATTAGATTAGTTAAGGCATCTACCATCCTGAAATGTGATTGTTTACTTGATTGTTTAGACTCTAGCTTTCTTTATCTACTTTGTAATGCATCATCCCTAGTCTTTTATTGAACCCTAGAAACTAACCTGGAAACAATTATAATTAAGGATAGCATCGAAGTTTCAACCGATCTTACCTAGTATATATGCTTTTTTACTAAAGTTTTATGTATATTTGCCACTTATATAGACGGATCACTTCATATAGTTATATCAAGCTAGATCGGTATCGGCTGGGCTATCTAAACTACTAACTGATCACAGTTTGATATATTGATATAGATTGATTTGTGTATACAAGTCTGTACTAGAGTATTATCTAGTACATTATCTTTTTCGCTCTAAATACTGTCACATCGGATATTTTAATAATATTGTCTTAAACTTCTTTACTAAACCTGATAGACAGTATTACAGTCGATGAGGCAAATTAGGGTTTAATATTCACTCATCTACCCAATCCATAGCCGATGTGGTCTAACTACATCGGATGAGACCACCAACGATACGCTATTGGCCTATCGGTCGATCGGCTATCGGCTGACTAATTCTGCTTTTGTCTTTCTTGCTGATCGCAGGATCAAATCAGCTGGCACGCCCTTGATACACTCGAGGCTAGCCTTGGACCTGCACCGGAGTTAAGCAGATCTCCCAGGCCACCGTGTTTTTAAATCAACACTCGAGCGTAGGTCCTAAATTTTGATGAGATGCCGGCGTGCCAGTCAGTTTGGTCCTGCACTGACAAGATATATAAATTAATGATCAAAGAGTCGATCGGCTAACAAGCCCATGTAATGATACTAGCTGATGTCAATAGGGTTTTGAACTATCGCTTGTATGTCGGATATAGATTTTGACACTTGGATAAATGATTATATAAATATGATGGAAGAACTTGAGCAATCAATCCAATCGGCTGATGATAATATGACGAAGTAAATATCCAATGAACCAATCGGCCGATATTGAAATAGAATGTTGAATGTAGGCTCGATGATTAAAATATGCATTAGCCGAAGTCCAATGTAAAGATAATTTTATAGGATAGCACTCCGATAAAACATTAGAATGAACCTAACCGATGCAGCACGAGATTGTAAATAATAATCTAATAATCAATGAGCTGATAAATCTCTCTAATGTGATGGATATAGCAAATCTATCTAAAGCACCATTGTGATTGTAGAGATATATCAGCTAAGTCAGAAGATCATACCTAACCAAGACAGTCCCAACTAAACTGATGCATCTCTAAACACAATAAACACAATGTAATTAACGATAGAGTTGAAATATCGGATCGACCAAATTTATCAATCAAACCAGAGTGATCCAAGAGGTCGAAGTGATGCAGCCTTGAACAAGACCAATGTAGTCGATATAATTTCCAGGGCCGACGGAATGTAGGGCTTACCCCTTCGCCGGAGATCGAAGCTGATGCAGCCCCGCGTCAGATGCCAAGTTCCGCCGGTGATAAATAAAAATATCAGAAAAGAGGGTGGCGATGCACCGAGAGTAGTTGTATTGATCTGTGGAGATATATAACAGGGACCCCAGGTGTACATATTTATACCCATGGGTGGGTAGTAGTCCATATCGGAAACTAGACAAAACTTTCTAAAGATAAAAAAGGAAATATACAAGTCCTGATCCGATTGGACACTAGATAAACACTTCCTCAAGATAAAAGGAAAACTATTAAATCTTGCCTAATTAATAGATAGAATTAAACTGTCATGCCATGGTCTTCATGATTCCTTATTGAACTTGGTCTTTTCTAGATAAACTTCCATCATTGATTGACCTCTTTCCTTGACCAAATCCACTAAGAATCTTACCAAATTTTGGCATTAACAGGAGCATGTCGCGACAACGGAAGGTGGAGATGGAGTCGCCCTTCTACCATTGCCTCTAAATGGCCCATTCATCGTCCTTTCACAGGCCCATGCAACCGAGAGTAGTGATGTTGATGAGGGAGGCATGACCACAAATGAGGAGGGGATGGCACGAACTGATGGACCATGATGCTCAAGAGGTGTGGACTTGCTACCGCAGGGGAGAAGCAGCAATCATCGAGGTGCGCAGATCGGCGGACTACTACAAGGAAGAGCTCGAGCTCCACGGCCATAGAGTGGCGTCAGTGTGATTGTTGTGAGAAAGATAGAAGAGAGGAGAGAGAGTGGAAAGGGAATGAAATGTGGGTCCTTTTTAGAGGAAGAAGAAAGGTTCATCTCACTTACATGTTGTCCAATTGGAGTTTTTATTTTTTTTACTTGACGGTGTTGCCACATAAGTAGTGCCACGTTGGATAAAAACTAGGTCAACGTGCCACGTAGGACTATTGGCCCACCACCACAGCCTATCTCGTGCGTGGGTGCGTGTGACAGCCCATTGCCGCTAGGCCCAACGCTTTTGCGACCCGATCCAATAACGACCAAATTGCAACATAGCCTTTCTCAAGAAGGAATTAAATTATTAGAAGTGCTAAATGACTGTTGATAGAAAATTGTAGCCAAAATCTTGCAAATCTTTAACCTTAGGATTCACTACATGATTCGTGCTCTGGCGACCTCACCTCAAGCTCTTACGACCCCTTCTCCACCAACTTCGACGACCGATGACTTGCCAATGAATTAGGGTTTAGGGCCCAAGGTTGGGTTGGGGACGGGAGAAGGAAGGAGGGAGATTGTCGGGCTTGGAGGGAGGGCCGTGGGCGGTGGTGGACTTGGGCGGGCGGCAAGGCTCTAGAGGCGGTGCCGAAGCCACTGGGATGGAAGAGGGTTGTGGACTGGTGTTGGTGGCAGGGGTAGAGCAAGTGTGCGGTTAGGAGGCGGCGACCGATGGTGGTGGATCCGACGGCGTGGCGGGGGCACCTCACCAACGCCGCTGTGAGGAGAAAGAGAGAGGGGGAGTAGGGAGGGAGAGGAGGTTGGCTGGGGGGACCTTGCCAATGCCATTGGCGTATTCCGCCCCGCCGGCGAGGCCAGGGTGGTGGTGACGCGATAGGGTCAAGGTGGCGTCGGGAAGCAACACATTGACCACTTTGTGGAGTGGCCAGGAGGAAAAAAGAAAATGGGTTAGGCCTTGTTCCGTTAATCCCTGTGAGGAGGGATTGGAGGGTATTTATTCCACACCTATTATGGTGTGGATTTATTTCCCCTCAATCTCCTCCAATCCTATTCAATCCCCTCTAAACCGAATAAGGCCGTAGAGTTATGGAGACTTTGCACGAATCTACTAAGGCCTCTCCTCCATTTATCCTCCAATTCAAAGGGGCCTAAAGTAATTCAATAGTTGAAAGTTTGCAAGATATTAGGAATTTAGGAGGGGTTTCATGATAATGAGTACACTACACAGTCCCCTTACCTATATAAATTATTGGTGGGAGAGAGAGAGAAGAGAAAACACCCACCACCTCCCTTGTCGTCTCCCCCACACAAATTATCCGTCCCGCCGGCGAGGCCAGGGTGGTGGCGATGCAATAGGCGGGGTCAAGGAGGTGTCGGGAAGCAACACATTGACCACTTTGTGGAGTGCCGGGAGGAAAAAAATGGGTTAGGCCTTGTTCGGGTAATCCCTTTGAGAGAGGGATTAGAGGGGATTTATTCCACACCTATTGTGGTGTGGAATTATTCCCCCTCAATCTCCTCCAATCATTTTCAATCCCCTCTAAACCCAACAAGGCCTTAGGGTTACAGAGACTTTGCACGAATTTACTAAGGCCTATCCCCTTGATTGAGAAGATTTATAGCAAGTTTAATAGTGTAGCCCGTTGCTGGCTATAAATTTATACCATGTCATCAAGAGACAATAGATAGCTACTACCACAATAGTTAAGATGAATAGTTTATCAATATATTTATCGTCGGTCTGTGGTTGTGTTGACTGCTGACCAGCTCCTCTCCGCTCTGCTAGTGAGCCCCGTTTTCTTGAAATGCGTGTGTAGCTCGGCGACTAAATTGTCGCCCGCTTGCGCTAACTCTCCATCATTTTCTCCTCCAGCTCAGCAACCCAGCCTACGTGGGATCCCTATCGCCAGCAAGGGAAAGTTTATTGTACCTGCTCTTATTCCACTCATATTATTACATGAAATTATTTTCTCCTCAATCCCCCAATCCCCTTTCCCTGAGAATAAACCGAAGAAGACAAGACCCTAAAGTAATTCAATAGTTGAAAGTTTGCAAGATATTAGGAATTTAGGAGGGGTTTCATGATAATGAGGAGTACACTCCACACTCCACAGTCCCCTTACCTATATAAATTATTGGTGAGAGAGAGAAGAGAAAACACCCACCACCTCCCTTGTCGTCTCCGCGCTTCGCTCCGGCCTCCCCCCCACAAATCATCCGTCCCGCCGGCGAGGATGCCGCCGAAACGGAGCGGTACCATGAAGGCGACGGCGGCGGCGGCGGTGGGAGCCGCGGGCACAGCGGGAGCTTCTCCAGTCGGCGTCGGTCCAGCGGGAGATGCAAGTGCTGCTGCGGGGAGGAGGGTTACGCGCCTTCGATCGAGGGAGCTAGGGCTGGAGGCGACGACGGGCGCTGGGGGGGATGTCGCGTCGGATGATCCGGGGCCGGCTCGGAAGAAGGGGAAGGTCCAGCCGGCGACGAAGGGAGCCAAGGGTAAGGCCGCACGAGCGGATCCCCCTACCCCGCCGCCGCGTCCTAGATTGCCGCCGTTCCCTAAATCCGGCGATCCCATGGATTTTCTCAAGTGGGATAAAGAGTTCAGGAGGATCTGCGCTCTTCCAGGTTAATTTATGCTTAATTAATTACTACTTTTCTCTTTAGCCGATGTCACTAGGAAGAAGGAAAACAACTGAAATTTTTTGCTCTGTTTGTTGCGCGATTTCTTCAGAACCTGCAGGTACTGTCATCCCTTGCACTGTCAGGAGGAAGCCTACGGGCCCTCGCACCGTCAGCATCACGGGCGTCGCAAGCGTAGCAGACAATAGCATGATCCGGAAGGCTTCTCGTTCCGTCGTCGGCATTTCCTCCAGGATACCTGGTAAAAAGATTGCTGCTAACGATCAATTTCAATTACAATCCCCTCCAATTACCAGCTGCTTCTTTTTTTAAGACTAGGAATCGTGCACGTGCAAGGCACGTTTAAAAATTTAGGAAGTACATTTAAAATTAGAAGGTATAATAAACTGTCAGAACAGGCATAATCATATTTTCTGAACATTCTTGCTTTCCATCATCTATTGAATTGAAAAGGTTGTTAATGACAGAAATAGCCAAAAGCAAAAAAAAAAAAGTCATTTCACATAGCCTCGTCAAAAGACTAACCACAGTAAGGATTTCTTTTAAAGAAAAATAACTTTAGTTAAAGGGTTGCCATGCTTTTTCCATATAGATGAATTGCTATGTATAAGAAACATGAGAGATTCCTGGCACAAGAACAGATTAGAGAAAGGCAACCGAATAAGAAAACAATTCAAGAGCTACAATGGTCTTCTATATTCAACAGGATTGCTTCAAAAATCTATTTATCATTGTAACAAATAGTGGAAGAACATTAGATTGATATCGCTGATATCTTAAAGCGAGAAGATACATAACACAACATTCTTTAAATTGAAGTAGCCACTGACACTAATTATATTTGATAAATAGTAAACATTACATAGCATAAACCAAAATCCATACTGTGATAGTGGTGCAAAATATTATTTATTCTAAAGGCGTAATGGAGCTGCAAATTATTGAGTAGTGCACATTTTTCCTACAACCATTATGCCTAAGGGGTGGAGGGTATATCAATGACTCCAACTCTTGGAGGGATGGTGAATTCCTTCTTGCTCGTGCGCTTTCTTGGGCAAAGTAGAGAGAGGGAGGGAGGGAGGGAGGGAGAGGGAGAGGGAGAGGGAGAGAGAGGCCCCTATCTCACTGCATTACTTCTCTCACAAAAAAATGGAACCTGCTCTGAAATGGAAAATGGAAATTTCTAACTCAAGAATTTACTGGAGAACAGTCGAACCCACCAATGTGAACTTAGGTTACTATGCAGGTACAAATGCAAGGGCAGTGGACACAACAACTGTTGTTTTTTATTAGTTGCATTCGATCAGAATGATGGAGCAGCAGGATGCTCTGGGTCGTCTGGTTCAAACCTTCCATACATTGATCTCTGATTTCTGATTTGAATTTAAAATAAGTATAAATAGACAAGTGACAACCAACCCGAGAGGCCAAGACATTCCTTTCAGCACAGTCCACATGTGGATTAGAGGACCATGGGCTGAAATATCTACTGAACATACTGATGCTATTCACTTTAGTACCCTCAATAAGTTCATTTTGCCTTCAGAACACAATATGTTATTCCTGTAGCAAAACAAAAGAATCAGGATCACCAATATATAAAAATTGTTCGATCCTATGTAGTTATGCCCTGAACATAATGAACAACGATGACGGACTCTGGACGCAACATCTCCCAATGAATTAGGGGAATAAACAATAGAGGGATATAAGTGATTTCAGGGTTACTTGTCCACAACAACTGATCGGGTATCAGAAAATAGGGCATATTTGTTTCAGCCGAGAGACCCCTGGGGGTCTAGTTTTAAGGCGAGTAGGCCTATTGAGATGCACATAAGTACCTTTTTTCATCTTATCACCCCGCCTAGTGACTTTGCAAGCATTGCAGGGTGTAGGTTAGCCAATTAATATCATCCTTTTTTGTGAATAAATTTGTCTTTGGATCCACTCAAACCAAAATTCTAAGAGTTTGGTCCTTGGATAGGTTCATTGTGAAGGCAAGCTAGGAAAAAAAAGATCACCATAATTCTATCAATTCACCACCAGTTGCCCGTTGGAAGCATTTTAAGTCTTGGTAATGAAAAGTCAGCCAAGCAAAAGTGGCAGTTGGCTATAAACATTCACCCAGGGAGAAGAAGGCCATATGTGGAATAACCAGGCAACACAGTTATCGGTGTAGATAGCCCAATAAGGCAGTCATAGACATTTTCCCGTTTAAATCAGCTTTTATCATTTTACCCATTCTGCACACCAACCAAGCACTACTCAAGTTTCCTTTATTAAGAGAAGTGATCTTCAGCAAAATTTCTTGTTTCAACAGCAAGTAACTACGGGTCACTCATAACCTTCTAATCCTCTATTCAAGTTTCCTTTATTAAGTTCAGAGAAAAAAAGTATATGAACTATGAGTTGTTTCGTTAAGTATGGCAAACTAAATTAGCATCCAATCAAAATGATAAAAGCATGCTATACATGACATCAAACAACAATGAGAAGCTGTACACAATAATCTCCCTCGCTCAATTTATCCACGCTATCGCTGCTACTGTACCTTTGATGAGAGAGACACTGGGAAGAGAACTCACAGGTTGAGGTTTTTGGATTTATAGCAGCTGCCGGTCTTGTACCTTTCCTGCTTCTCCGTCGCGCAGGAAAAAGGACAAAAGGCCACCGACTTCTTCTCAGATTCATTGTTCGCCTCCTCTGGGAGAAGTGGCAGCGGCAAGGGTGGATGTGTCGGCAGCAGAGCGGACCAGGATGGAAGGATTGGCGGCAGAGAGGTCCGGGACGGCGGCATCAGCAGTGGAGGGCCCAAGGGGAACACTGGGCCATCGATTACGGTGGAGACGGAGATGGAGCAGCCCCGCCAGCTGAAGGGCAGACCACCACGGCTGGGAAGGATGCAAGAAGTGTCGTCCGCGGCGGGAGGAGTTGATTTCCGGCGATTCCGCGGCTGTAGAGAATGCGAGAAGTGTCGTCCGTGGGCGAGACTGCGAGAGGAATCGATTTCTGGTGATTCCGCGGCTGGAGGATGTGATTTGCAACGGGAGAATGCGATTTCCGGGGAGAGGAGGCGTGCGGCAGACTGCGGATGGGGGATGTGCGCAGTGGTTGGAGGATGTGTCGTCCGGGAGGAATAGGCGGCAGCGTTATTATCGTGAGAGGACTACGTGATGCAGCGATGTGGTGGTGAGGCATCACGGCAGGGTCAGCGCGTACGCGCGTGGCTGCGGTGGGTCCCGGGCGGTAGTCCAGCGGAAGGGGGAACACGTGAGAGGAGGGGCGGCAGCGAGTAGCACAGCGGCGGCGGTGGCATAGCGCGGGGAAAGGGGGGCAGAGTAATCAGGTCGGGCACGTGGAAAGAGCGGTGGTGCGGGCGTGGATAGCGCGAGGTCGCCCAAGATGGATTCAGTGAAAGATTTCAGCGGATTAATGGATAAGATTATTTTACCTGGTGAATGGATGGATGAGATGAGTTGGGATGATTTGGCATGTAGGATTGGAGGGATGCAACTCCTCCTTTTTATATTAGTATAGATATCAACAATAATGAGATGGCCTATTTTAGTAACTCCCTGTTACACATTTGCCATGAAAATAGTGCAACGTTAGAGCAAAATTGCTTGACAAACACTTGAAAAGCTGAAAGCAAGAGATTTGTCTTTCAGTGGGATTGAAGATAACTCCACTGTCTAAAAAAAGAACTATGATATCTGTTGATAAGCAGATGAACTCCACTATCTATACAATGGTTTTCCTACAACCACAAGGACTTCATATGTGCTCTTCTCACATTGCAATCGAAATAACATTTATATGATCACAAGAGGAAAAATACCTGGGAATGAAACTTCAGAGAGTTCTTGTCGACGAACAAAAGACCATGCAGATCGATCACTTTACTTTAGATCTTTGAATAATCACGCACCTTTTTGCGCCACTGGACATTTTATATACATAAAAAACCTTATTTATGATAAACCAGTTCAAGTATGAACTAAATTAATTTTTCAACTTCAGTAGACAGTGAGTTACCTCAAGAACATATGCTTGTCTTGAGGGCTATTATAGCAGAATAAGTACCATAAGTATGAACTAAATTAAATTTTCAACTTTAGTAGACAATGAGTTACCTCAGAATATATGCTTGTCTTGAGGGCTATTATAGTTGAATAAGTACCATGAACTGCAAAAAATACTAAAACTTTGTTCAAAACCAACAACTGCAACCATTGCACCATGGAGCCCATTCTCCAACGAAAGGAGAGACAACAGTGAATAACTAACCTACAGTGGCCATAAAAGATTATCAAGTACAACCTTTGCCAAGATGTAGAAATGGTATACTAATTTATTTTATGGAAAAAGAAACCCAACATGTCTTCAACATGTCTTCCTAGGCACTCTGACATTTTGTCTAAACTGTGCATGTTTCTCCATAGCTAGCTATGGGAGGTCCATATCTTCTCTCAGAATTCATGAAAGTGCATATCTGAAGACATTTGTTTCTTTAATGCTCAAGCACATGTATTCATAGGAACAACTCACAACAATTGAGATATCAGCTTCATTAACAAATTTTTTTGATACAACAGTTGCCCAAATTGAGACACAAAGAAGTACCTGCAATACACAACATTAGCTCAGGAGGCCCTTGTCCTGATTGGCTTCCTCTTAATTCCTGAAGCCCGTTTGTGGATGTCATGCTATATTCAAATTTCCAGCACCCATGGAACTTGCTGGATATTTCACTCAAGAATCCGCATGGCCACATCAAGCCCCAAATGCATTTTCAGATACAAAATATATGTCAGTCCATAGGGACAGAACTATAGAGGAAAAAATAATTTGTAAATTTGCAAAGTAGAACCTGATGCCATGAAGATTCCATCAACCATGCAATTAACCTACTTATAGGAAATCAACCTCCAACATGGATACAGGAACATGTATCCAGCAGTATCGTCTTTAGTCCAGAGGCATTGCGAGGGATGGTATGATGTTGCCATTGCACCCTGCTATGAGATCGCCTTCTCCTGCCTACAACCTGAGACCACTGACCAGTGGAGCAAGAGAGGATGGATCTAAAAAACTAAATATTGTTTCCATTAGCAGACTAACGAACGAAAGCTTATCTTCGGCGAAAGGGGGGAACCACCTCGGCGGCGGCGGCTTGCAGCAGCGGTGGAGTGCGGCGGTGGCTGGGGATGACCTCGGCTCAGGCGGGGCAGTAGCGGCTGGTGACGACCTTGGCTCCGGCGGGGGGCAGCAGCGGCTGGTGACGGCCTCGACTCCGGCGGGGGCAGCGGTGGCGGGGACACGCGAGGAGGAGCGAGTAGTGGACGGCGGAATCATCTCGCGGGGGCGGAGTAAACACGCGGTGGAGGGAGTGCAGGCAGAAATCGCGGTGGAGGGAGTGGAATCGGTGAGCGGTAGCCGGTAGGGACGGTTGTGATGCGTGCAACGTGGATGGACGGTAGGGATTGATAGATGTGATTTGGCCTATAGGATTGGAGGGGTACAACTCCTTTTTATATTAGTAAGTATAGGTAAAGGAAGCTTTTATTCAGATCAAGATAATTATATTTCTTACCAGCTACTAATTCTTCCTATGTTTTCAGATGGGAAGGAGATTATGCAATGCAGTGGTATCGTGGTCGATTGGAACAAGACCAGCAGGTTGGCAACAATCGTAACTTGCTCTGCAGCCGTGTGCTTTGATGGTGCACTAGTCCATCCCAACCCCAAGGTATGCAGAAAACAAACCTAGCTGGATTGATTAATGGTAACACTTGGACTATGAAAGTTCTCTGTAAATTCCCCTTCAAATCTTAATAATGTTTGGTCAGCCTCTTCCAAGACTGAAAATTAATTAACATAGGATAGATATGTTTGCACAATAGCATTCCAGAATTAACCCTTGTTCTTTAGATAGCTATGGGTCCTACATAAACTAGTTGACACCCCGCGGGTTGCGGTGGGCACACTATAAAATTTTCGAAGTGCATAAAATTGATGCAAATTTTGGTCATCGAATCAGCATATGAAAAAATAGAGATTTACAGTGTTGAGATAGAAATTGTGTCTAAATGTTCGTTTTTCAATTAGGAAAGCAACCCCAATTCTCATGGTTCCTGACATTCTAGCAATACCGGGCTGGTCGATTTGCTGGATGGCTGCGAAGATATGTTAGGTGTAAAATCAGGATTAATCTCATGGCAATATGATTAATTGAAAAGTTCAAAAGTTTATAGAACATATAAAAAGTTATCTCACCTTCAGCAGTTATCCCAAACGAACCTTAATGGTTGCCTTCATCTGATAATCTAGGCTACATGCAGGCCTTATTTATAGCAACTCCAATCTGTATTCCAAGAAATCAATATATTTTGAAACTGAATTCATACTGAAATTTGTGTTTCGAGGTCGGTAGAGATAATTGACATTTGAAGGTGAATATAAAAACTGTACAATAGGAAAGCTAAGGCCAATACTGCTTCTTTACTGAAACAAATCTACAGCAAGCAATGAAAGAGAGAGGAAGAGTGTTTATTTTTTTTACCACTTCATTAAGGAATGATATATACCAATTCGATGAATTGTTGCAAATCCTATTGGACGGATACCTGTGAAAATAGGTAGAAACCAATTGATTAACTAATAGTCCTTGTCATATATCAGGATGAAGAAAAATCTAGCAAAATCAACCACCTGATTGGAACATGTACAAAGCAAAAAGAAAACGATTAGTGAGGGTTAGGAGCGTGCTTTTTTTTTTCCCCACAAGGACCGCTGTGGGTATGGAGCGTGGGCGAGGTGGGGCTGCGCCAATGGAAAACATTGATGGGGAGCTGGCCCAAGATATCAACACCGTTGATCTGGAACCATGAAGACCAATCCAAATGTCGAGAATTAACGATGACGTGGTGCAACGTATTGCAAGCTTTATAGTATTAATTGCTATAGTGGGTACTAACTATATAGGAAGAAGGGATGGCTAGCATATTATGACTCGGAATTAAGAGTATATTTGCATAGGAAGCATGAGAGGGGATAGTACATATGTTTATTCCGTGTTCTTATTATCTTTTTCTGAATTGTTTAATTTTGTCTTTTCATTCTTATTGTTTCAACTGTGCTATTCCTGTTCATAATCTTTATTGGATCACATGATTCAAAACCATGTGATCATCTCTTTTTGCAGTTGCTCGTACATTTGCCTAATAGGTCTACCGCAGAAGGACAATTGCTTTTCTTCAATGCACACTACCGTATTGCATTGTTGGAGGCCTTGGTGGACTTTCCATTGGAGCCTGCTAATTTTGGCTCTAGTCCAAAATTTGGACAAAAGGTGTTTACCTTGGCAAGGGACAAGAAGTCATCCTTCTTTGCTAGGTCTGGGACAGTCCTGTTGCAGGATCCACCATTTTTTTTGAAGTACAAATACTGGTTATCTCTCAGCTCTGCAATTGAACTGGTATAAGGATTATTGTTGTTGCAGTTTTTTATCCATTCCCACTTTCTTGCCTATTTAGTTTGTGTTATTTCTTTGATGCAGTGTGGCACTGGAGGACCTGCGATTGATGAGCGTGGCGATGTTGCAGGGATGACATTCGGTCGTTTGCCAAATCCGGATGTCCTCTCTATCTCTATCCTGCAGACATGCATTGACATGTGGAGGAGATTCAGGTTCATTAACAATCTCTTTTATTATTGTATTGTTTCTACTATTCTTTTGATGTCTATAAAATTGTGGCATGTTGGGTAGGTTAACTTCAAAATTTAGATAATATTTAGACATATGTTTATGTTGGTATTGAAAACATATAATATTACAATCCTAACACGAGTGTTTAATCAGCGGCGAAGCCATAGCCCCCTGCCCCCCGCATTAGCAGTGGCACATGTCAATCTAAGGATTTAATGGATATTACAAGTCTCGTGTAACATTATTTTACAATAAAATATCTTTCTTAAACTGAAATCTTCTTGCTGTAGCAGTGACGGCGTCATCAGTGTCTCGCCAAAACTCTGACCATGTCATACGATGAATCTCTAGAGAAATCTTGGCACCCCAACCTTCAAATCGTGGCTTTACCTCTGTACAGTGGCGGACCCAGGATCGAAATCCTGGGTGTGCCCACGTCAACCTCAAGTGCAAAAATCAATGTCCAGTGCTTATAAATACCATGTGATCTCAAGAGCAAAAAGTCAAAGTTTTAGTGCACATAAACTCCCTATTTTCCTTCGCATATAGTTGATTGGTTCAACTTGATCTCTCCCTACAAATAATAGAAAACACACCTTCAATTTAAACTCTCACTAATTTTAGTTTTTAATTTTTCAATCAATCTCTGTCACCTCCAGAGAGAAGAGAGAAGATATCAGTATGATAAGAGAGATTGAGAGAAAAAAAAAAGTAAGAATGTAAACTAGGACGGCTGGACAGGGAAGTCCTAGCCACTTCGCTGGTCGCTATGAGCCTGCGACTTCTGCCAACTTCCCATGTAGCCATGGCCCATGACAGAGGTTCTTGGGCTTTGATTTCTGCCAGCTTGTTTGAGGCAATGAAGCAACCATCCAATGTCTAGGTCCATTGTGCATACTACTCGCTATTTTTTCCCCAAAAAATGTGGGTATACCGGTGTCTCCACTCCTGCCCCTGCCTGTGTACTATTTCACTGTCCTATATGCATAGAAATATTCAATGCCTGGCTCTTTAATATTAGCTACTTATGTTTAAACTTTAGTTGTTATACTTGGTATACTTTGTAAGAAATTCCACAAATTCTTGACGGACACATAGGTGTGGCATATAATATTAGCGAATTGTCTTTGTCTTTAATAGTCTGTGTAGCTCTCTTTTATATCTTGCAGTGTAGTTTTATGTGTTCTTATCAAACATTTTAATATCTTCAAAATAATTCCTTGTCAAAATTTGAAGTTAGTGAATTTGGCTTATTTCAGTCGTGTTGCTCGCCCCTTTCTTGATATGGACTTGATAGCCTTTGAGACGTTGGATATTACACACCAGGAGGAGATTGAATCGGAACATGGCATTACCGATGGTTTCATCGTGGACTTGGTATAGATATATTCGTTTTACTTCAGTTTTCAGAAATATATATTTAAATTATTTTGAACTTTTTAGGTGTGCGATGATTCCACTGCTGGGAGACTTGGTATTTCCAGGGGTGATGTCATTGTTTCATACAATGGACTTCGTGACTTCACTCTGCATACGGTACAAAGTTTATGATTGTTTTCTTAGTTTTGAAAGGTGCAAAACAGTATTGCTTATATAGTGAAATTTTTATAAGCAGTTTGAGGAGTACCTTCTCAATCTTGGCTGGGGTTTTCTTGAGAGTACAGATCCGAGCTGGACGATCAATTTAGAGGTATATTTCATAGTCTTCTTGGTGTTGAGAATATTGAAACTAACCACTGAAAATATAATATATATTTTTTTCTTGTAGCTTGAGATATATGATCCTGTTAGAGGTACTATCAGAGGTGTTACCTTCCCTCTGGGATTTTCTGATATTTGCGAGGATGTATGTAACATTTTATCTTAGTTTATTGTTTTATGTGATATATTTTTTTAAAAAATAAACTGACAAACTTGTGAAAATTTTAGGTCCTTGTACTGCCATGAGACAGCTGCGGCATAAATCGTCAAAGCAATGTGGCTAACTGTCGCTATGCCATATGCCTTTTTTTGTGGCAATTGTTTTGTGATGTCATATATTATCTTTTTTTTTTCTGGTGAGATCTGTAACCAGAAGAACATATTGTGATATTGATCCTTTTTTTGTTATGCGGTAGGGCTGTTTGTGACTTGCAAGGTTTCTGGTGGCCACGATTACAAAACTGAAAAAAGATGAAACATATCTGAAATGTTTTTTTAGGGTAAATCTTGGTAGCATTTTATTCACCTAAAGAAACGTGCTTACAATCCTCATCAAGATAAGGTAAAACAAAACCTAGAGGAACCGAAACCTAGGTTGTGAAACAACTAGTAGAAAGACCTTCCTTCGCTAACCTATGTGCTACCACGTTTGCCGAACGATGAACCTAAACTAATTTCACAGCTTGGAACTCACTCAAGCTGGATTTCAAATCTTGGATCAAGGTGACATGGATAGATTGGTTTATTTCTTTCTGTCGCACCATATTAACCACCTCCAAAGAATCTGTTTCAACATTACCTTTATAGCTCCCATCACCCTTGCCAATTCAGTAGCTCTTCGGCAAGCCAGTATTTCAGCTATCGTAGCATCTCCAATATGAGAACAATGTTGTGTCGCAGCTGCCATGAACTCACCTCTATCATTTCTCATCACAGCACCAAACATCCCCTCTCTGTTCCGTTGCCAGAAAGCCTCCATCGGCATTTACTTTCACCCAGCCGCTCGGAGGCTTTTCCCATACCTGTGACGGTTAGGGCCTTATTTAGGCCCCGTTTAGTCCCAGAAAGTTTTTCTAAAAAACATCACATCGAATCTTCAGACACATACATGAAGCATTAAATGTAGATTAAAAGAAAAACTAATTGCATAATTAGGGAGGAAATCGCGAGATGAATCTTTTGGGCCTAATTAGTCAATGATTAGCCATAAGTGTTACAGTAACCTACATGTGCTAATGGCAGATTAATTAGGCTCAAAAGATTCGTCTCACGGTTTCCAGGCGAGTTATGAAATTAGTTTTTTCATTCGTGTCCGAAAACCCCTTCCAACATCCGATCAAACGTCCGATGTGACACTAAAAAATTTTCATTTCGCGAACTAATCAGGCTCTTAGATCCTAAAAAATTTTAGCCAAAAACGTCACATCAAATGTTTGGACACATGTATAGGACATTAAATGTAGAAAAAAATCAATTGCACAATTTGCATTTAAATTGTGAGACAAATCTTTTGAGCCTAATTACGCCATGATTTGACAATGTGATGCTACAATAAACATTTGCTAATGATAGATTAATTAGGCTTAATAAATTCGTCTCACAGTTTACATGCAGAATCTGTAATTTGTTTTGTTATTAGTCTACGTTTACTACTTCAAATATGTATCCGTATACTTCAAAAACTTTACAACCAAAGAATTAAACACACCCTAACAGCATTTGTCTTCCGTTCATGTAAATTGGCCCATTCCTCCAGCTGATAGGCAATTCTTTTTGCAACATTAGTTGGATTCTCTGGTGCCACTGCATAACGACTATCAATATTACGAACAGACCACAGATTATAAAGGGTAACAAATAAGCCTGCAATTATATGATTCTCCTGACCCGATAACCTATCAAGTAGCCAAAATGCCAAGAGTTTATTATTATTACAGTCCACCCCCGGGACTGGAAATTCAAGCTGCAACTCTTCCTCTACCTTGCTCCAAACCGATTTAGAATATGGGCGCTCCCAAAATCTGTGCAAAGCATTCTCATTTCCATCACAGAATATACAACGTACTCCCTGCTTACTATTCCTTCTCTGTACTTCAGACCCGAGGGCTAGACCATTCTGTATTAGGCACCTTCATTCTGGAAGAAATTTTCTCTATTTTGACTGTCAGCATTCCACAACTTTAACCATCCCCTGTGAGATGGTTGGTTGGAGGTAGATGCTCCAGTCGAGCCCTCTCTTTGCATATGGTAAGCTGATCTCACCGAAAAAACTCCAGACTTTGTGAAGTTCCATGCCACATAGTCTTCATCATCCCATTCAGGTACATGTATCTGCTCTACATCAGTTACATCACAATTCATTCAGTCTCTCAACATCCTAAAGTCTAGTGCCCGGTATAAGCAGATCACATATTAATTCCCAGTGGCTTACATGAACCATTTCGAGGTATCCAGTTATATCACTCTGAATATTAACTAGTCTCTCATCTACGATTCTCCAAATAATTCATTTTCTGAGCATCTCCTATGACACCCTGCTTCAAGGAAGGAGCAGTTGCTGAAATAACGAGCTTTGAGCACTCGGGAGCAAAGCGACTCCGGATTAACAAGAATCCTCCATCCCTGTCTTGCTACTGCACAGCGATGGGCCAACATGGCTCCCGGCAGCCGAGTGGGCTGATCAAGCCCATGCAAATACGCCATCAAGAAGGATGTGCCTATAGGTTTGTTTGGTTTGGTACCAATTTATTACCCTACCAAAATTTTAGTAACTTCAATAATAGTAAGTGTATATTTGATTTGCTACTAAATTTTATTAATAATAGTTCAAATTAAATACTACCTAATTTGGTAGTATCAAAATTTACCAATATTTTGGTACTATCAAGATTTTGGTAGGGTAAAAATTGGCTCCAAACCAGACAAGTCCTATACCCGTGAGACCAAACAACCTAAAATTACCGCTACAGATTCCCGATTTTTTTATATTGTTTAAAGGGATAAATCCATTTTACACCCTCGAACTCTTATGCTTATGCAAAATACACCCCCGAACTACAAAACCGGGTATAATATGCCCTCGAACTTTCAATACCGGACACTTAACCCCCCAGATTTGAGGGTGTATTATACCCGGTTTTGTAGTTCAGGGGTGTATTTTAAACAAGCATAAAAGTTCGAGGGTGTAAAATGGACTTATCGTTTATTTAAATTCACGAAAATTTTGTAATCTTTTAAGAGTAAATCCCTTGTGTACACATGAAAACTCACCTAATCCCTTCTATACCCTCGAATTTTACACGATCCTCTGTGTACCCCTGAAATTTCGCTTTGATCCCTTCCATGCCCCTCCCGTTAAGTTTCCATTAGATACGTTGCTCAAACCGTGTATTGTGTTGTCAGAATTTTTAGAAAATACCAAAATGCCCCTGCCAACCCAAACTAAAGTTCCCCTTTTCTTCTCCCTCATCCTCTTCCACGCGAATGGCCTCTGCACGCCGCCGTCCCGCTGCCCTCCGGCCACGTAGGTCGTTGTCCAGCCGCCGTCTCGCCGCGCGAGGCGCCGTCGTCCAGCCGCCCTCCCGCTGCGCAGGCATCGCCGGCCACCGCCCTCCCGCCGCAAGGGCCGCCGGCCACCGCCATCCCACCGCGCGGGCGTCGCCGGCCACCGCCCCTCCCGCCGCGCGGGCGTCGCCGGCCACCGTCCCTCCCGCCGCGCAGGCGGCCGACCACCGCGCCCCCGCCGCACGGGCCACCGGCCGCGCGCGCCGTCGTCCAGCCACCGCCCCTCCGGCCGCGCGCGCCGTCGTCCAGCCGCCGTCACGCCGCCACCGCCCCTCCCGCCGCGTGGGTGTCGCCGGCCACCGCGCCCCCGCAGCAAGGGCCGCCGACCACCGCCCCTCCCGTCGCGCGGGCGTCGCCGGCCACCGCCCCTCCCACCGTGCGGGCCGCCGGTCGCCGCTCCTCTTGCCGCGCGGGCTTTGCCGGCCATCTCCCTCCTGATGCCACTATAGCTGGCACTCTTCCATCTACAAGGGTGTTTTAGACATTTGGAACCACACATAACGTGAAAATGAAGGAAACCTAACGGGAGGGGCATGGAAGGGATCAAAGCAAAATTTCAGGGGTACAGAGAGGATCGTGTAAAATTCGAGGGTATAGAAGGGATTAGGTGAGTTTTCATGTGTACACAAGGGATTTACTCAACTTTTAACGATGCCACGTGATCCAATCGGTAGCCGGGAAAACTGCTGGCTTGACATAGATGGATTTGACGTACGGCTGTAAAGAGTTGATGACGTGGTTTTAACCTGAAGGCTGGAGTAGTTAGTATAGTGCAAGGTCAAATATTTATAACTTTGACTATTAATAGTAAAAATATAAAAAAGAGCAATCATATAAAATTGATGTTGCTAGATTTATCGTTAAACAAACTATCACAATATGCAATTCTTTTTTATTTAAAACATTTTACTTTTACAAGTTTAGTATATATTATGATTACTAGAATAGCATCTTGAAGATCGTGTCGAAATCCAAAAAAGCTTATATTTTGGGATGGAGTAGAGTTTTTTTTTGAGAAAAAAAAATTAGAATTTTGATCACATGGGCTAACATGATATATATGAATGACTAATGAACGACTTATATATTATGAGTACTAGAAAAAATATGTGTACATTGCAATGGGTAAGATGTTTTTAATCATTTCTTTGGCCCAACCCACATGTGGAGCCGTGTGGTCTCCGTCTTCAACATCCAGAAGATGGGAATTTTTTTGGAAATAATATTATTTTAATGAAAAATCGCAAAAATATATATCGGTTAGACGAAATCGCAAGTTTAGCACTCTGTCGAACATCCGTGGTTTGGTAGGGCACCTATCGAACTGCCCCAGTTCGACAGGGAGGCAATTCGACAGGTGATAAAATAATTTAAAAAAGAAGAAAAAAGGAAATAATATTATTTTAATGAAAAATCGCAAAAATATATATCGGTTAGACGAAATCGCAAGTTTAGCACTCTGTCGAACATCCGTGGTTTGGTAGGGCACCTATCGAACTGCCCCAGTTCGACAGGGAGGCAATTCGACAGGTGATAAAATAATTTAAAAAAGAAGAAAAAACACTGTAGCAATACTGTAGCAGCGCACCTATCGACCTCCCCCTGTTCGATACCTTGGGACAGATCGATATGTCTCTGTTGGGCACTGTAGCGTACTTTTTTATTTTTTTTCTTGGACAACTACCCTGTCGAACTTGCCCTAGTTCGATAGGGGCCTATCGAACTGGGGCAAGTTCGACAGAGTGCTAAACTTACGATTTCGCCTAACCGACTTATATTTTTACGATTTTCCATTAAAATAATATTATTTTCAAAAAAAATTCGGGAAGTTGGTGCCGTGCCCATACGATATTTGAACTGATTCTCCCCATCAAATCTGGCCGAATCTTTCTCGATTTCTTAAAATTGGTTTAGG